AATAATAATAATCATATTACTATTGCTGATCATGATGAAGACAAAGATGGAGATTCAGATGATCACTCTAAAAGTACTACTGGAGTTCAGCAAACTGATCAAATTAGTAACATTAGTACTACTTCTCCAACTCTAATGGAGTTCAACATCATTGAGAAGGGAGATCATCATCAGTCTCTTGTTAAATCGTCTTGAAAAATTTTGTCATCTCATTCTCTATAAGAATGAAAGTGCACTTATGGGTATCAAGATTTCATTTAACCTATAATTACAATTGATGATGATCTTGTTTGTTCTCACCCATGTATATGTGAACTGTCCTGTTGCTTGTCCCTGATCAGGTAACCTTGTACTCTCCTCCTTATAACTGATGATGATCATATGCTTAAGTTCTTTATTTTAAGATCTTTCGTTCCACCTCTTTTCATGAACTATGTGTTATAGTACTGAGAATGTTTTTGGGTAAAACTGGGCATTTTTGTGTGATAGTTTTCTTTTTTTTTTTCCTTTTTTTTTTTTTGAAGTTGGGGATGGGGGATATATTCGAACTCTATACGTTGTGATTGAGTAAGATGCAAAATTATTGATAGACTATGTCTGCGACTACTTGTGTATGAAATTTGGGTTTTGAATATATTGATGATCCCATCAAGAGCTTATTTTAGACCCAATGATCTGCACCTTTCAACTGATTCTTGTACTTTTGGCGTTCAATCTCATCCTCCAATATTTTTCATTTTAGAGATCATTTTGTAGATATATTAGCTACAGCAAGTTAAGATTACATATTTTGGGACTACAACTTTGGTTGTCATCATATCATATCATCGCAGACACATACTATGAACAAGCCTCTGATATTTCCCTTTCAACTTTCAAGTGTGATTAATTAATTAGCTTTAAGTACTTAATTAGTCCGGAGAAAGACGGTAACAAACATGCTTCTTCTCACTCCCTCTAAATTGAGTGAAAGTTTATCGTTGATGGTCAAATAATAATGAGACCGATTAATTATCACAAAAGATGATCGGTCTAACTTTTATTGTGAGGAAAAAAAATCAGTTTTCAAGAATTATCAGTACTGTATTTTTTTTTTGAAAATATCAGTATTGTATTTCTGATCATTATTTTTTATTTGATATTCATATCCTTGATGTCATTTTGGTTAATTTATAAACGACTGTTTGAACAATAAGCATGATTTTTTTTTTTTTTTAAGGAGTAAGCTTGAGAATTAACGGCTATAATTATAGCATCTTATGCATATATTTCTTTGTAAGGAGGCCAAAAAACTTTGTAAAATGGTCAGGCAATGTCCTAAATGTATGTCTATAAATGATCAAATTCCCAACGTGATCATCAAGAATAGCACTTTGGGCATAGCATATTAAGCAAACAAGAAAGTTATTACCCCTCCTATAGAACTGTCTACATGCCAACTCCCTAATTCATTTAATGAGTTCTTGACCATTTCTCTCACAAAAGCACTATTTCAGTTCTTGATCATATCTTCTTAATTTCTCATATTCAAAGAGAATGTGATCAACTCTTTGAGACTCCGCAGTTTTCCCTCTAGCTATAGGTAGCTAGGAATTTTTCCCCTTCTACTAATTGTTTCACTGAAATCAAATATTTGGTCATGACTAGGGTTTGCCAAGAAATTACTTTTGTGGGGTAGAACAAGTTTTCTTATATATAGCAACAAAAGATATATAAAATGCAGGCTTATATATATATGAATCAAATATACAAGAGAATTTCCAGCAAATTAGTACTACTACAGTCAACATCCAATCGTGATGATGATCATAATATAATTACATTTGGGAAGACGAAGAAGAAGAAGTCTTCATGAAGATTAATACCCTAGTGGGGTTTTTTTTTTTCTTTTAAGGTAGGAATATTTCTAATCTTTTTTATTTTTTTCAAGTCATGGATATATGAACTTTGTTTAAAGAGGTTTTTTGATGCTTTTTTCCCCCCATAAATGGAGATTAATATGTTATATATCTTCTTTGGCTTTGAATTAGTTTTAAGTTGCAATGTGTCCATTATATATATATATATATATATACACACACATATTATAAATGGGGCTTGGCGTGTTCATGAGTTTTTAGTTCAGAATTCTTTGATCTCTTCCACCTTTGCTCATCACTTATTTATAATATATATATATATATATATGCACACACACACACACATATGCTTGAAAACATGAGGAAGTACTGAAGAGGGTAAAAAGGTTAAAGTTAGAAAGAAAATAAGAGATAACAATATCACGTAAGTGCTACAATTACTGAAAACGTTGGAATACAAAATAATTATAACTTAGTATCATGATTTTACGGATAGAATCATCTTGAAAAATCTCTAACTTCTGCAGATAAGATGCGAAATGTGTGTAGCAAAATAGAATTGGTTTTTTTTTTTTTGCTGGAAAAATAGTAATTGTTCTTGGTATAACAGTAAATTGTATAAAATCCTTAGAAAAATTCAAAGAATATGATCTTGATTGAACTTAGAAAACGTCAAATAAACATGGGACCACCAATACAGTAGTACCATATATACGCGACTCTCCTATTCATGTGTAGATGAAGTCTTAGTCATAGCATAATAGTATCATGATGTGTCCTGATTTCTTCATATGTAGAACAGACTTTCATAAGCTCCGATAAACTAAAGACCAGCTACTTGGACCAATTTGCTACTTTTATTGGCTTTTGACCTTCATAGAATCCTTTAGAAAGCCTCAAAGTTCTGGGACCAAAATTTTGGCCATCCAGATGCACTAGTACTATGTGACGGTTTTTATTGATCAAATTAAGACGGACACAAGCTGCTTCGATGAGCTGCGACCATTGAATCGCGGTATCGAGCTTCATAATTAACTTGTTCATCTCTCCAAATGATCACTGCTTGTTGGCAATCAGCGGTGTGGACCAGCACTTTGGCAACAGTGAGTGTGTACTAGTGTAAATTGTTTATAGCAAAATAGCGACTCAAATGAAAACAGTGCACCCATTTTCCACAACAAAGGGGCAAGGGCTCATGGGGTGTCCATGTGATCATTTGCAGGAAACCCAACAAAAAGTTCCCAAGAAAACATGTACTATATATGCGTGACTAATCTAACTTCTATAGAAATATTATTTTGTGCCTCAATCCCCTTACAAAATTTCCTTAAAGTTTAAGCCTTATAATGCTCTTAGGGAGAACTTTGTGGATGCATTATATTAGAGGAACACCACTTTCCAGAGTTTTAAATATACCATTTTTTTAAAGAAAATTCCAACCCAAGTTTCACATTAAAACGACACAATTGATAACTAGACTTCAAAAGTGGTATACAATCTAGTTTACATGAACTTGTTATCAGTGTCTATATATATGTATGTACGCCATAGTAGCTTTGACAATGTGCATGCATGAGCTAGGCAGATGTGTGCTGACATGGCTGAAGAAAAACAAGACCAACTAATTTGATAAATTTGTGAAAAACTCCAGCCTGATGAGCATCCTAATTTTCAGCGCTAGATAGCATTCATCTTTAGGACGAGGTTAAGTGTGGAGGCTATAATCTGAAGATATAGAAATGGCATTTCATAGTTGATTGGTTATACTTATAAAAAACAAAGGCTAAGAGCATTGTTTTGGCTATTAACTGACAACATAGGAGGTCTGGTTGCATATGTTTATTTCATAAAAATAAAATAATATGCGCAATTGCAGAAACTATAAGCTCCTTTTCATGACCTTTGTATTCCATTCACTATTCGGAAAAAAAGGTCAGTACATTCTAAATCTATAATGTAATCTAGCTTCCTAATGTGCGTCATAATTTTATAGAGAAAATTGCTGAACTTACCCTTAAAATGCATGAATCTGAATTTTAACATTTTATTCTTGATTAATACCTTTTGACTAATATAATTATTTGACTAAAAAAGATATTAATAAAGAATAAATAGTAAAAATCGAGACTCATACACTTTAAGAATATTTATCTCATTTTTCTTAATTTATATATGTTGAGTCCTTTATCAAGAGAGCACATATAGAGAGAGAATGTAATCAACTTTACAAATACCCTAATTCTCCTCTAAGAAAACATTTACTATCAGATGTGATAATAAAAGAGAGCTGTCACATAAAAAAAAAAAATGACAGCATCCTAAACTATTATCTAGTGATCACGTCACTAGATAATAGTAACAAATTGCAATTTCTTTAAAAAAAAAAACGCACACACTAATTTAATGAGCATTGTTGCTAATCAGCGAGCAATCGTTGTTATACAAACCCACATTCTATCAACGTGATGATAATCACTATCAGTTTTCATATTTGAGTTTTTTTTTTTTTTTTTTTCATCCGTTTGGATTGAGACCGATAGTTTGGTCATTGAGCGTCAACAACGTACCTTTCATTTTCTTTCGCTGGACCTCCACAGTTTCGTTACTTGACGGCTGAAGCGTCAAGCTTGAGAACAAACAAGTGAGTTTTGTTTGCTCTGTACATATATGTCAATGTCATTCATTCCATGGCTCGCATTAAGCTCGAAAAGAAATTGACGACTTTTCCAAATTAAAAGAGTTTCTTGGCCTCTTGGGCCCAACATCGCCGTTCTGTGCCTGGACTTCATAACGCAATTGTTTCAGAATGCATTTGTTTTATGACATGTTTGATTCACGCGTCTAAATCAATAATTTTAATTTTAATTTTAAATTTTATTAGAGAATCCATTGATGAAATTTTTTTTATTCAAATTTTTTATGAGAAAAAAGTACTTTGATAGAATTTAAAAGAATCAGAATTATGATGTTAAATAGGTGAACTAAATGGACCTGAGACTCGACATGGATATGGAAACGTCTCTTCAGACCTGGAGATTAATCACAACTTGGGACTCACTAACCCAACAAGGAAACTTAACTTGAAAAAATATGCTCAGAAGTCGGTAGCTTTGCTATCTGTTACTAATAATCAGAGGCTGAGTCCGAGGCTTTCCATTGAGCCAACAAAATTTTGGTAAAACATAAATAAGTGCTGCTACAATAACTCATGAATCATAATTCATAACCCGACTTTTCCACATTTGAATTTTTCTTTGGCTCGGAAAGTGTACAAGACATATATCTATTGAGGAGGGAAAAAAAAAAAAAAAAGTCCCTCCACATTTCATCACCAAAAATCAACAAATTGGATTAATAAAAGCTTCTATGAATCCCCAACCGTCATCAACATCAGGTCCAACCCAATAACCAGAAATTATCATGTGGGAAGAGCCTACATTCATATGATAAGATACTACTTCAAACTGATGACTTGAGGGCGTCAAAAAATGATCCCTACAAGTTTGATTTGTAGACGATATCACATCAATAATGCTGCAGGAGATGGAGAGTTTTGTGGCTGCAAATGCAAACAAGGTTGCTTGAGAGTTCAACACAAATTTGCATGACGCACATATAGGTATGATAAAAGTAATTGCATGTTGTTAAGTTCGGGCTAGAACTATAACACTCATAAGAGCAAGCAACAATATGTTATGCACAAATTTTTTAATTACCCCGGAAAAAAAAAAAAAAAAAAATGTCAACTTACATTCTAGTAGAAGACACTGAAATTGAAGACTTGAATTTCCAAGAACCAAGAACAATTCGAACTTCAAACGTTTCAAAGGCTTAAGACGAATCTATGGTTTGAAAGCTAGAGCTCTAGCTACTTGGGGAGTTCAAACTTCAAAGCGTCCGATCAATGCTATCAGTAGAATGAATGGATCGCTAAGATACCTCAAACTCTACATACTGACACGAATCTTCATTCGTTCTAAATATTTTGGAGAAAACAGTAAAAGGACTACTTTAATAAAAGAAATACGACCAAAAGAAAATTTAAAAAAAAAAAAATTTGCAGAATTTTGGCTATAAGAAACCAGTTCACCAGCTGGATGTATGAACCCTTTTTTCGTTAAAAACAGAGGTCGGATTATTTAAGAACATCCAATGTTTTCTTGGGAAGAAACAAAGGTTTATTTACTCTTTTTACCTACTCTCTCTCACATCAGATAATAGATATACTCCAAGGAACCTTCAAACTTGAGAAGCTTATTGGCGTTCAAAGAAACCAAAACATTTGAATCCTGGGAACAAAAATTAAGAAACAAACCTGTAATGTATGTTGGGTGTCTTAAAGGTTTAACCGAAGCTGGTTTCTTTGTATGTCGTTCCTGAAACTGAAAGCAAGTCCAAAAAATAAGAACAAAAAAAAAAAAAAGAAATATGAGCATGAAAGATCATAACACATGGAGATCAAACCATATCTAATCTGCTAGCAACAAGAATGGATAATCTAGTTCCTCATAACAAGGAAATTCCATAACGCAAACAAAATTTTCTATTCACCTTTCTATTAAACCAACATTTTGGGGCTGTACATCACACTTCAAGATTCAAAATTCAAAAGTTCGAAATAATAGGGTAATTCTTAGAAAGCAAACCAAACAGGTACATTGAAAAAAAAAATGATCAACTTCTACGACTTTTTTCCTAGTTGGCTGTAAAATGGGATTATACCCATCCCGTTACTGTAAATTCTTGAATTCTTTCTGTGGACAACATTTTCTCGGCAACCAAACGGGACTAGCAGAAGAAAATCAAAAAATTAAAGCGAGGGTTTCTGTTTTATCGCGAAAAAGGGGGAAAAAAGAGGAGTTTGTCAAGAGGGAATTTACCTTAAAGAAGGCATTTGAAGCAGAGAAAGGAACGGAGAAGCTCGTGGAGAGTAGGAACGCCATTAAAGGTTTTAGCTTTCAAGTTTTTTTCCGCATTTGCTTGTTTCTTACAGAGTGACAGACAGCGTTTTAGCAGAGCTTTAGGTCAGCTGATAATCCTCGGAAAGTACCATGATAAGAAGGAAATAGAACTATTAGCATAGTTCTTACGACGTCGTTTTTTTGTTCGAATATGGCCTGTAAATTTTAAAAAAAAAAAAAAAAAAAAAAACTGTTATTTTGCGAGTAAGAAATTCGTTAGAAATCAGTAGTTTTCACTTTAGAAAATTAACCAAATGATCTTTTTTTACCACCTTTTGACCGGACATTTTTATTTTATGAAAATTGTAGTTTTTTTAAAGACTCAATCAGACCCACAAGTAATTATGAAATGTTTATTTCAAAAGTTCTTCTTTAATTCTGAACTATAGTTCTTAATTTTTTACAGTATTTTTTTCTCACAAAAAATTTAAATTTTAAAAATTAGAATCATAAATCATGATTCTAAACTCATAAACTAAACATCTCATTAGTGATTGAAATGTAATTTATCAATAGTTGATTCGCGTATAATTTATTGATTAAAATTGATTAATTACTAATTAATTTTAGTTAATTATTAATAAATATTGATTATAATAAAAATTATCGAGCTAATCAGTAATAAAATAAAATTAATCTGTGATGGACCACTAAATCAATCAATGATTAACTAATAAATTAATAAAAATGATCATTTTTATAATTTTACATGAGAAAAAAAATTCCTTCAAAAGGGGCTATTTGTGTTGAAATCCCTTTTACTTTTTAGTCAAAAATTTGAAACTACAAATAATGTGTATCTTTTTCTTTCTTTTTTTTTTTTTGCTTCAAATAAAGATATAGGTTAGTTTTTTTATTTTTTTATTTTTTTTATTTTTTAGGCAAAGACTTGAAGTTTCATTAACCCAAATCAGCCAAGATAAAAGGAGATACAAATCTCGGAATGGGCTATGATTGGGCTTAGTGCTGGAACTTCGGGTCGGCGGGCCGCCCGAAGCCTGAATTTTTTCGGGCTCGGGCGGGCCGGCCCAATTCCCGCCCGTCCAAGCAAGAAATTCGGGTTCGGGCTCGGGCAGCCCGGATTTGACATGTCCACCCTTGCCCGCCGCCGTCTAACCACCGTATACCGCCGTCCGCTGGGACTTTTTTGCATTTTTTTGACAAAGCCCGAACTGCCCGACCCGAAAATTGGGTGTGCTTGAATTGCCCGACCCGAAGCTTGAATTTTTGAATTTTTTGAATTTTGCCTGAATTTTTCCCGCCTGCCCGAATTGCCCGACCCGCCCGAGGTGCCCGAATACCCGAAAAAAGGCTAGTTTTTTGAATTTTGCCCGAAAACCCGAGTTGCCCGAAAACGGCTAGTTTTTTGAATTTTTACCCGAATTCGGCCCGAAAACCCGAGTTGCCTGACTTGCCCGAATTGCCCGAAAACGGCTAGTTTTTTGAATTTTGCCTGAAATTTGCCCGAAAACCTGAGCTGCCCGAGTTTGCCCGACTGTCCGAACCCGAATTTCAAAAAACAAGCCGTTTTATCCTTTTTTTTTGAAAAAAAAAATCATTTTTTAACCCTAAAATTTCTCTATAAATACCCCCCATCCCTCACACATTTTTCTCACTCAAACTCTCTCAATCCCTCTCAATCTCTCTCAATTTCTCTCAAAATACCCCCCATCCCTCACACATTTTTCTCACTCAAACTCTCTCAATCTCTTTCAATTTCTCTCAATCTCTCTCAATCTCTCTCACAATTTTTCTAAAGCTCTCTCTCTAGTCTCTATCAAATTCATCTTATTTTTTTATAATGGATCCTTTTGGTTATAGTGGTATTCCCGTTGATGCCCAACACAATGTAGAAGAAGAGCAATTTTCCACTAATGAGTTTGTTACGCAGCAAATGCAATCTATTAATCCAAGCCATGGTGGACGTACTGGAGGTCGTGGTCGCAATAGTGGGCGTGGAGAAGCGGCAGCGAGTGCGACTGCGTCTGCGTCTGCGTCGGCAAGTATTGTAACCTCTAGGAGAAAATGCAAGCGTACCTCGACAGTTTGGGATTACTTCAACATAATTGACGAGGTGGATAATGAAGGTAACACTAAACATATAGCTCAGTGTAAATATTGTTTATCTAAATTACAAGGCGACACTATTCACGGCACCACACACTTGAGACAACACTCTGAAAAGTGTCTTCAAAAGCTTAGCCAATCTAGCGGACCCGAACTCCGCCAAACACAATTATCTTTTGATCGCGCAACCGGTGGTCTAACCACTTGGAAATACGATCCGCAAGAAGATCGTATGGAAGTTGCGCGAATGATAGCTGCTTTAGATCAACCACTTAGTTTTGTAGAGCATCCTAATTGGCAACGATATATTAAGATTGTACACAATCATAATACACAGTTCACTTCAAAAACTACTCTTAGGAAAGATTTATTAAAATTATTTAAAAAAAAAGATGCATTAATAAACCTTTTACACTCGACTAGCGGGTGCGTTGCGTTAACGGCAAATATTTGGTCTGCCGTTGCCAATAAAGATTATTTA